ATAACCAATGGGTTATAGATGAAATTAAATAGTATCTATAATTAAATGATAATGCCAATACATTGTAACAGAACATAAGGAACACAATGAAAGCAGTCCTAGGAGGGAAATTTACAGCACTGAATACCCATAGCTGAAAAACAGAGCAAGCTCAAATAACCTACTGTTGAACCTCAAGCTTTTAGATCAAGGGCAGGTCATGCCTAAAGCTTGTAAAAAGGAGGATGTTATAGAGAACAGAGCAGAAGTTAAAGCAATGGAGACTAACAAAATAATACAAAGAATCAATGAAACAAAGAGTTCTGTGTTACATTAAATGAACTTGACAAACTCTCAGCCAACCTTATTAAAAACAAAAAAGACCCAAACACATACAATTGGGAATCAAAAGGTGGAAATCACAAGAAGCCCTAAAGATATTCAGAAGATCCTCAAAACCAAACCTACTTTGAGAATGTGTATTGTAAGATAGAAAACAAAGAAGAAATAGACAGATTCCTAGTTACATATGAATTACCACAGCTGAATCAAGAAGGTATAAAAATTCTAAATAAATCAGTATCTGTCAGTGAAAGTGAAGATGTAATTAAAAACCCATCAATAAAGAAAACCCTAGGCCCTGACAGATTCACTGCTGAACACCACAAGAAATTTAGAGAAAACCTAATACTACTACTTCAGTCTCTTTTAAGAAATTGAAAGAGAAGCCATACTCCCAAATTCATTCCTGGAAGCATGTATTATCCTGATGCCAAAACCAGAAAGGAATCCAATCAATCCTTGACTGCAAATTATACTACAAAGTTATTGTGATAAAAACTGGCAAAACAAAACAACCAGACTCAAGGATCAATGGAACAGATTTTAAGATGTAGAAACAACTCCAGCATACTCAATCATCTTATCTTTGACAAAGGAGCCAAACATACTCACTGGAAGAAAGATAGCTTCTTTAAGAAATGGTGCTGGAAAAAACTGGCTTTCCACATGCCAAAGATTACAACTAGACCCATATCCCTTCCCAGGCATTAAGCTAAAATCCAAATAGCTCAAAGACTTCAATATGAAAATAGAAACAACTCCAATCTGCTGGAAGACAGGTAGAACTGAAGACTTTGGTATAGGCAAAGATCTCATGGGAAAAAACCCCAGTTGCAAAGCTTCTATCAGAAATAATCAACAACTTGGACTGCATCTTATTCAAAATCTTTTGAAAAGCAAGAGAAACTACCAAGAGAGTGAAGAGACAACCCACGCGATGGTAAAACATTTTTGCCAGCTGTTCCTCAGACAAAGGATTAATGCCTAAAATATATAAGGAGCTCAAAAATACAGAACCACCCCCAAATTCAAAAAATGGGCATCAAAAATGAACAGACCCTTTTCAGATGAAGAAGTAGCAATGCTAAAGAAATACATGAAATACATGATAAGGGGCTGGGCATTTAGCTCAGTGGCAAAAGCACCTGCCTTGCAAGCAGGTAGTCGTGAGTTCGATCTCTGGTACCTCTCTCACTAAGTCACCTCTCCCATTAAATAGGCACCAGAAAAGCTAACATAAAAGAATAAACAATGGGGGCTGGGGATTTAGCTCAGCAGCATAAGTGCCTGCCTTGAAGCAGGTGGTCATGAGTTCGAGCCCTGGTACCAGTTTAAAAAAAAAAAAAAAGAATGAACAGTGTCAGGGGTAAAGATGATATGCGCACTGACTTCTCACATGCTGTTGGTGTCAGTACAATGCCACTTTTAGCAATATCTCTTACGGCTGAACAAATGCATGGGATATCTATCACTCCACAGTTCTCTGCTTTTTTTTTTTTTTTTAAAGGATCCGAGGGCCAGGGATATAGCTTAGTGGCACAACTCCTGTTTGGCAACACAACGTCCTGAGTTCAAGTCCCATTACCTCGCCCCCCAAAAAAGACAGGTTCTCAGTATAAAGCCCAAGAGGGGCGCAAACTCGCAGTCTTCTTGCCTCAACATTCTGCCCTGCTGAGTTTATAGGCATATGCCGCCATGCTCAGCCATAGCTTCACTCTCATACACAAAAGAAATAATACACAAGAATACTCAGGATAGAATTGATAAAAACTGGAATCAACCTGAATGTTCATGAATAGAAAAGAACAAATTTTGATATATTGGTATGCTGGATTACCAGACAACAGATGAGAATAGGCAAAAAATATAGGACACAGGTAAATCTCATGAACAATGAAACAACCAAGAAACACAATATAGGTACTATTTTACTTCATTTAGTCAAGAAGAAGCAAAAATAATCAATGGTGAGAGATCAAGACCATTGTTAGAATTGGAGGAAAGGTACAAGGATTCCTCATTTAACCACCAAGTCCTATTCCTGTCAGTACAGCGTTAAAAGAATTAGTTGCTAAATGAGGAGCTGTATATAGTACATACATTACAACACTCAGCACAAAGAAATGGTCAAAGGAAACTCCAACTTGATGACTTTGCCTTTATTTGCACAACTTCTATGCAGTATATAATGTACAACAGAACATGAAACTACAGTACCATAGAGTACCATCAGAAAAAGTATAGTACTGTATAAACATTACAAACTAAAAAAAAAAAAAAAAAAAAAACATTGAGAGTCTCTGAACCAGATGTGCAGAACTTTACAAAAAACAAAAAAAGAGGAGGCATAAGTCTGAGCAGCAGGGAAGTCCAAACAGTTATTAAGCAGGTAATTAAATGAGAAACACCTGTACTGGAAACTAGGCAGGGGCTTCCAGTGTTTCATTTTGATGTAGGAACTGTTTCTCAAGTGTGTTGGCTCTATGGAAAATTCGCTGAGAAGATTTCTGATATTTGCTATAGTTGGGGGCCTTCATTCTGAGGAGCATTCTCTGCTCTCTTTTTATTTTTTATTTAAGACAACTGCTAAGTTTCTCAGGCTGGGCTCAAATTTTTGATCCTCCTGCCTTGGCCTCCCTAAGGGTTGAAGATTCCAGGAATGCACTACCATGCCCAGCCTTTTACTTCAATTTTTAGAAGTAGGGCACATTCTGACCTGCCTACCTAATGTGCCAAAAGTACACCGGGCACTTACTTGACAGGCCTCTCTAGTCAAACAACTACCAAAGATGAGCCTGATTCCAGGAAAGGAAAAGGACCAAAACAAGTTTGTTTCATGGTTTCTGTGTTTCTGAAATGCTGCATCAGGTGCTCAGATGGTGACGGGACCTGGTGGCATCATCACATTATGCACTAAACTAAGCATTTCCAGGCTGCTACACTGAGAACCCCCCAGAAACAAATCACCAGGCAACCACCTCATCAGCAGGTGTGACAACACCCACTGCCTGAAACCAACTCTACAAAACTCCTGTCACTTCCCTCTCAGGTCCTGCCTGCCTGTTTTTTCCAAAAACTGAATAGATTAACTATGTATTAGATAAACTGTAGATATATCTCAAATTATAGTCAATATATTACAAAAACAAAACTAAACCATCACAAATTTACAAATACCTGTATATACTATAAAATCCTTCACATAAACTGCTCCCCATTACCTCCCTACACAAATACAAGTTGGCCAGTTCTTATAATCTTCTATAGTAAAATCTGACCTAAATAAACTCTGACATTTATAAGATTCCAATGAGAAAAATCTTAATGTGACTAGGAGGGATGGAGCTCAGTGACAGAGCACTTAGGCAAACACAAATGAAGCCCTCCTTCAACCCTATGCTCCACAAAAGCAAACAATTTACTGATTCTCTAACCAACAAAAGAAACATATAGCACTAACATCAAATTATTGTTTCTAAAAAGGAAATTCAAATGCTTGGCTTATTAATCTTTCAGGAGAATTGACTATAGCCAACAAATACATTAGGGCTAGTGTTCATTTGCCGATTTATCACTGCAGACTCATCATGACAGCATAGATGTATGCTTATTCAGGTCTACCTGAATGGACCAGAAAGGCAACTATTATGAACAAGTAAAATGGTACTCGATGGCTTATAAACACCTAAATAATAAGCTACTTATCTCCCACTATGCTGTGTACCATTTACCTTACATTTTTCTAGTTTTACTATGTTCTCCCTTCGCATGCCATTCAGTCTCCATTTAATTCCACAAGAGGCAGTTTTGAGATACTGGGCTGAATGTAATATAATTAAAGAAAGAACTACAGTTGTTTCCAACTTTGAGGTGGTTTTTACTTTTATATATTTGTTTTTGGTACTGGGGATCAAACTCATGACTTTATGCTTGCCAGGCAGAAGCTTATGCTGCTGAACTAAATCCCCAGCCCAGTTGTTTTAAACTTAGAAGTCTAGTCTAAAAGGAGAAAGTTCCTAAAGAATAAATTTCCAGTTTTCTATCCCTTATTACAAATGTGATTTACAAACACCGGTATTCTGTAAAGATCGTCTGTAAAAATTTTTCTCTGTGAAATCAATCCTTGTCTACCAAATTTCAAGGGCTAGAGATAATATCTCAGCAGCAACAAGCATCTGCTTGGCAAGAGCAAGGTCCTCAGTTCGATTCCTGATACCAAAAACAAAAAAAAATTATTATCTACTAAATTTCATTAGAAAACTGCAAATCCTTGAGATACAATCCTAAACACACATATAATTCCTGAGATACAAGCCATGGGAAGCCTACATTAAGCAAGAGATCTCACAAAACAGAATCAAAGAAACCAAGGACCATGCCGCTTGGTTGTTGTTTCAAGTCTTTTTAAAAAACCTTCAAAGTGCATTCCCAAATCTTTAGCAGTTCCTCAGCGAAGAGTGAAAGTAGTAAGATATTTTCACATGACTTTACAGAACACTAGTTTGTTTGCCCTAAGTAGCTGAATCCCCAGGAACTCTGCATGCGCTTACAAACACTAGGAACTATCATTTGACAAGTGGTTGGTTACACAAAATATACAGGTACAAAAACAAAAGATGGTACCACAGAAAGACACGTAACAGAAAAAACCTGTAGTTTCAGGTGAAAACCACACATACCTGTGGAAGCGCAGTATTGAGTTGTCTCTGCAACGAATCTCTCTCATGACCAACCTCGAGTAATTTCCCCTGGGTCAACGCCAATGTTTCTTGAGTCTCTATCAGTGTGCTCTGAGCAATGTCTGTTTCTTCTAGCATGGACATCATGTGCTGTTCAAAATGGGAATCTGCATCTGGTTGTGAAGGGCAGCCAGATCCATGGTTTTCACTTCCTCCTGAAGGGCCTTCTTCACTGATGGTGGGCATCACCTCACACATCATTTTGGAACAAAAACACAGGACTAGTCATTATACGGAAAATACAGGTTCCCACAAATCTACAACTTTATGAGTATCTGTAGCTAATAAAGGAAAGCTGACAATCTCTTTATTCACAGATCTGTTATTCTTTGGATGCAAATACTCTGTGAAGATACACCCAGGCACCCATTAAATGCAGAAAGCCACCACATGAAGACACTAAAGAAGACAACAACGCTGGGAAGATGTAAGGCCCAAAGAGAGCTACTTATTTCTCCTATAAAGAATAGAGCAAACCATGTGAGGTTTTGTTTGCAAAAGCAAACTTTTTAGTTTTGAAAACAAGTGCGCTTCTGTTACCTAGTTTTTTTCTATTTCCTGGTAGGGGCCCATTCCACTCGATCCTTTTTCAGGAAAAGCACAGAAGCAGTATACAGCCAGGAAAACTGACAAGGACAAAATCCAACAGGCATCTTACATCTTACATCTTATTGACTGTGTGCAGTCAGCTCCTGGGAAGGCCTGCCTGAATTCTTGGGCTTAATTTAGTGAACACAGAAAGGAATTGGATTTGCTATGGCTCAAGAGAGATGTTTTTCAAGGACTGCAGTGGTTGTTCAGTCAACCTAACTTAAGTTTACAGCTAAAAAAAAAAAAAAAAAAAAAAAGAAGGCTTCACAATGGAAATACAGCAGTTCAGTACAGTGGAGAATGGTTAGGAAGGAAAGGTAAGAGGTACGATCATGAGAGGCTATTAAGTGTGTCACATAGACAGACGGGCCTAATGAGGGCGACAGGGATCGCTGAAGACTTCCAGGTAGTACCCCAGGCAGGTGCGACCCTCCAGCAAGAGATCCCCGCGACCGCACACCTGACCACGATGATTTCTAGCACCTCACCGGGTGCTGTACAAGTTCTGGCCCCACTTACCCTAGAGCTTTCCAGGACGCGGCCATACAGGCGAGTCCACAGTGCCATCACTGGGGTCTCCTGGGCAACGTGCAGTGGTTTAGAATCCGTCCCTCGAGACCTAGGGGGTCCTGCTAGCCGCGAGCAGGACCAACCGCCAGCGCAGGACCAACCGCCAGCCAAGCGCTGAAGCTTTGCCCCCGCCCACGCGCACCCCCGGGTGACATTTGGCGGGTGGCCCCTGGCCAGCTCCAACCTTCCTGCCTCAGTCTCCCGCTCCTTACCTTGCGCGCAGTCTTTTTTTTTTTTTTTTTTTTTTTTTGTCTTTTTCATTTTTATCGGTACCAGGGATTGAACTCACGACCGCCTGCTTGCAAGCAGGTACTTATGCCACTGAGCTAAATCCCCAGCCCCCCGCGCGCAGTCTTTTTAAACATTGCGATATAAAACAAAAACCATTCTTAAAAAGCAAAAAGGGTTCAGTTGACTTAAGAGTTGTCATCACTCGGGGGCTGGGGGTTTAGCTCAGCGGCATAAGCGCCTGCTTTGCAAGCAGGCAGTCGTGAGTTCGATCCCCGGTACCGATAAAAAGGAAAAAGACAAAAAAAAAAAAGAAGGCTTCACAATGGAAATACAGCAGTTCAGTACAGTGGAGAATGGTTAGGAAGGAAAGGTGAGAGGTACAATCATGAGAGGCTATTAAGTGTGTCACATAGACAGACGGGCCTAATGAGGGCGACAGGGATCGCTGAAGACTTCCAGGTAGTACCCCAGGCAGGTGCGACCCTCCAGCAAGAGATCCCCGCGACCGCACACCTGACCACGATGATTTCTAGCACCTCACCGGGTGCTGTACAAGTTCTGGCCCCACTTACCCTAGAGCTTTCCAGGACTCGGCCATACAGGCGAGTCCACAGTGCCATCACTGGGGTCTCCTGGGCAACGTGCAGTGGTTTAGAATCCGTCCCTCGAGACCTAGGGGGTCCTGCTAGCCGCGAGCAGGACCAACCGCCAGCGCAGGACCAACCGCCAGCCAAGCGCTGAAGCTTTGCCCCCGCCCACGCGCACCCCCGGGTGACATTTGGCGGGTGGCCCCTGGCCAGCTCCAACCTTCCTGCCTCAGTCTCCCGCTCCTTACCTTGCGCGCAGTCTTTTTTTTTTTTTTTTTTTTTTTTGTCTTTTTCATTTTTATCGGTACCAGGGATTGAACTCACGACCGCCTGCTTGCAAGCAGGTACTTATGCCACTGAGCTAAATCCCCAGCCCCCCGCGCGCAGTCTTTTTAAACATTGCGATATAAAACAAAAACCATTCTTAAAAAGCAAAAAGGGTTCAGTTGACTTAAGAGTTGTCATCACTCGGGGGCTGGGAAAAAAGCAAAGAGAGAGACACAAATGGAAAACATTTCCAGGGGGGCTGGGAGGAGCATGCAGCAAGAAGGAGGCAGCCACAGCCCGTGTAAGGCTGGGATGCACAAATGTGAGCGGCGTCTTCCAAAAACACCCACGCTGGCCAGACACTGTTTTTGCGAAATGGCCAGGATGGGTGGGAACTCGCCTTCCTTCCCACCTTCACTGGGGGGAGCGAGGAAAGGGTGGCACCAGTCACAGGGCACAGGGGGACGAGGACATGTAGGAGGGGCGGTCAGGGTGGGTGGTTCTGAACACAGGAAGGGGTCTAGAAAGGAGCCCAGGTGACGGCTGGAATGCAGGTCACGGGATGAACTCAAACATACGTACAGATGCCAAAATATCAGAGAACCCATCGAAGAATAAATAGAAACATGTGTGTTCCCATATTGGCTGCCCCTTTGTGGTGTATGGGAATGGACCGGCTACCTGAGTTTCTCGAACTCAGGTTCTGAGGGAGGGAGCATTCCCAGGGCATGGGGTGGGCTTCTCCAGACCTGTGAAACTATACTGGGGCTTCCCTGATGGCCAGGGGTGCATGGCGGTGAGGCTGCTTCTTTCAGACTATGTGTCTACACCGGCACTCCCGTGGTGGTCACAGGCATACAGGTATGTGTTTGTCTGATTCTCCCAGTGGGTGATGGCTGCCTGAAGGAAGAAAGGGTCTCCAATGGTAGCCTGAAGGTTCATGGGGCTTACGTGGCTTGCATACCCCTCTTGTGCTGGCTGACCACAGGAAGCAAGATTTTTGATGGCAGTGGCCGGCAGGCAGAGGCAGGTCTGGCTGCATCTCTCAGCTTGCACTGGCTCTATAGTAATTTAAAAAGACCAGAATTATTGAGGATCTTTCAGGTGTGAAAGTTCAGATCACTCATCACATAAAAGACCAATATAGTTTAGGAGAAGGAGGCAGGACCAATTACAGATATGAGAATCATAGTAGTTTTGTATACATATAGGTATATATGTTTTTCCTATTATTATCATTATTTTTATCTTGTACTGCTAAGGATTGAACTCAGAGCCTCACACATGCTAGGGAAGTACTTTTTCACTGGACTACATCCATGTCCCTTTTAAAATTTTGTTTTGCGGTTAGCTCACTAAACTGCTCAGGCTAGCTTCAGCTTGTGATCCTTCCACCTAAAACTTACAAGTAGCTTGGAATACAGCATGCACTATCACATCCAGTGTATCAGAAAGTTTTCCTGTCACAGGGACAAAATCCCTGATATCCACAACTTAAGGAAGAGAGCTTTGTTCTGACTCACAGTTTTAGGAGATTCGAAGCGGGCTATGTCTTCCAAAGACTCAGTGGCTCTCCTCCTATAACTGTAGCCCACTTCCTAACAGCACATTCAGTGCAGCCCATATGATCCAATCACTTTTCACCTCCCCCACAAAACCCATGAGACTTGAGGGATATTTTTAAGTTTAAATCAGAACACAAACTTATTATTTTATGTGTTAGAGGTTAACTTTTTGATTATGTCTTTAAATTGCAGAATATTCAGTTGGAATGTGTCTGAATCTGAGAAATTATTATTAAAGCCAGCAATAAATACAGTATAGTAACTATTTAGACATTACTCTCTTCACATTAGGGAGAAAGTAAGGAGTTCACTTGTAGGAAGCATAGTCGTATCTTGGTAGATGGAAACAGAGTAGTCTATTGCTGTATGGAAATTCAAATGTAAATAGAAGGATGCATATATAGAAGCAAAGGGGATAGAGCATGCAGGTTAATAGTTTATTATTTCTCAGACCCAAATATACTCTTCTTTGCCATTTTTCTTTTCACGGTATTGCTGTATAGTCCAGGTTGGTTGTTAACTCACTATGTAGTCCGGGCTGCTTCAAACTTGTGACAATCTTCTTATCTCAGCCTTCTGGGTGCTGGGATTACAGGCATGTGTCAGTACACCCAGTTTGCTCGGTTGTTTTTTTTTTTTCTTTTTGTTTTTTATTTTTTATTGGTACCAGGGATCGAACTCACAACCACCTGCTTGCAAGGCAGGTGCTTATGCCGTTGAGCTAAATCCCCAGCCCCAAAGATCATCTTTTTTTTTTTTTTTATTGGTACCAGGGATCAAACTCATGACCACCTGCTTGCAAGGTAATTGCTTATGCCGCTGAGCTAAATCCCCAGCCCCTGCTCTGTTTTTTGATACTGGAGATGAACCCTATAAGTCCTGTTTTGTAAAGTGGCTTGATATTATTCTTGGTCAACAGAGTTCTGGAGGAATTCTGCAAGGGTAGAGGAGGATATTCCATTTCCTGGTTCTACTGAGCTCATGTTTTACATTGTGGCAGAGGCCTGGCAATGCTCACCTCAGCAACCCTCATGGACCCACTGTGATCTGCATCCTTTGGTATGTTTCTCTGCCGTCTAGCAGGTTGCTCCTACCCATCAGCTACAACTAACTTGCATCCTTCAGCAAGTTTTTCTATTACTCAGTTTTCTCCGACAGATCAGATCCTGCTTTGTTGCAATTTGTCAAGTTTTTCTACCATTTCTATGAACCAGTGCAGATCTATCTGAAGTCCCAGGCAAATTCCTTCACTGCCCATAAGCCTCATGTCCTGTGGCAACTACTGCTTTCCAAAATGGGCTGAGTCTTATCATAAGAGTGACCTTCCAAAGTATCTTTCCCTTCTTCAGTCGTGGTCAGTGTTAGAGATAGCAGTCACTTTCTGTATGTGCTACTTTGTATAGTGTAGTTTCCTTTACTATTTTACTAGTTACTATCTTTTATGTTTAATAACTCTTAATGTTAAATTTTCCCTATTCTAATTACTGGTGTGGTTTCTGTTTCCTTACCAGACTCTGACTGATGGCAGCTGAAGTTGAATTCTTGTGCCCAAATTATCAGCTTGCGACTTAGACTTAGTTTTAGTCTTTTCTTGTGAGATTTTAAATTGTCTGCATCTACGGTAATTGATGTTTGGTTAAATTTTTGCTGCCTAGTTTTATGTATTTTGCTCTTTTTCTTGCTAGACTTATTTACATTTTAATACTTTTATTAAACTGAACTTCAGTTCAAAAAAGATAATTGAGGGCAAAACCAATGTACTTATTTTGTTTTTGTTTTTATTTTTATTTTTAATATAAACATTATTTTTAATTCTTCATTCTTAACTTAGCAAGCACTTGAGCGTAATACCATCTGGGTCCAAATAACATCTCTACCACTTGCAAACCATACTTTGGGCAAGTTATTTAACTTCTGAATCAGTTTCTTCACTGGTAAAATGCATATAAAGAAGTGAGCATAATGCCTGATATGGGAAATATTATATTTATATTATTATTTTCTCCATATTATCTATGAATGTCTGGCTTCTGATTTGCTATTGGGTACTGAAAAAAAAATGTACTGGCTAATCTGTGGTTTGCTTCATACCCAGAAACCCTCTAGGAGAGAACTTAAACTTGACTCGTATTTGAATTTTGGCAAAAAGTATATATCCCCAGCTGAGACAACATTGGAAGGAGAGTTTTATGGTTTCTGAGAGAAAAACATCATAAGTTAAACCTGGTACAAAGGCTGGAAAATGTCAAACTCCATGGAGAAGAAGCTTGAGTAGAAGTGGCAGGTGTGGGAGAGCCCTTCCTGACCCTAAGGTGATCCAGCTCTTTCCAACTCCTTCTGGAGTGCCTGTGCCTTCCAGGAAGGAAAGAATTGAATGAAAGAAAAGCCTATGTCTAGAGGCCCACCCCTCTGCTGAGCTGCCCATCCTAGGATGTTCCTATTGAATGGATAAGGAAAGAGCCCTGGAGGCGGGGACATAGGCAGTGCTGTCTGTATACCTTGGAGGCTAGCTGACTCATAGAAGTCAGCTGCCAAACATCAGATTGTGGGCAGAAGACTGCTAGTAAAGTAGAAAATCGTATAGATTCTATGT